GAGATGCTTAAGAAAACTGTGCACGCAGTAGTCAGGAACTACTATAAGCATTCAGAAGTCTTTTATTGCACAATCAAATCTTTTAAGAATAAGCCATGTGTAATATGGAGCTTTATAGTTTTGCTCTACTGTGAAGTACATTGAAGGTATTTAAGTAATTGATGATTATTTCTCTATGTTCTTTATATATCAATCCTATTTTTTCTTAACTCCTTTAAAAGCTTAAAAATTAGAACAAGCAGCCCTGGCCAGTATGGCTCAGTTAGTTGGAGCATCGTTCCATAACCGAAAGGTTGCGAGTTCAATTTCTGGTCAGGCCACACACAGTCTCCAGTCCAGGTGTGTACAGGAGGCAACCAATAGATGCCTCTCTCTCTCTAAAAGCAATGAAAAAATATCTTTGGGTGAGGATGAGCAAACATGTAAACACAACTTCCTTCCCTGTGACCTACTGCATCAAAAAAAGGAGTCAATCAGCAGCCTCTGGGGAAAGGAAACATGTTGATCTGAGACTGGTTCCTTCTCTACAAAGGGAGTTGCCAGTCCAGGCACCAGGTGCTCTAAGGTCCTAGCAATAGAGAATTTTGTTTAAGGAAAGCAGCTGCTAAGCTAAGTTAGCTTCTCACTAGCCTGTCACGAGATGGTACAGAATTGTTGGCCCCAGAAAACTGAGAGAAGATTTGACCTCTCTCCCTGTAACACCCGACTGCCTGTAACAATTAATCTCTACTCCACCTCTACTATTTCTTAGTGGCTCTCTTTACTCTTCCTCATACTGGTGTGCGGGTGGCTCAGGAAACCCAAGCCTTGCAGGATGATTGAGTCTCCCAGCTTCAAAAATGAGTTTAAGGAGGGGATGAAGGAAAGCCATTCTAAAAGCTCATTGCCCTCCAGCTTTACTGGGCTTCTTTCTGCTCCTCCATCCCATTACAGTGGTTCCCACCTTGGGGCCTTGGGACTTGAACTCTCTCAGCTTGGGTTGCTTTTCTACCAGAGAGTCACAAGGCTGGCTCCTTCCCATTCTCCAGTCTCACTGTAAATGTCACCCTTTAAAGAAGCCTCTGCCATACCACCCAAACAAAGCTACTTATTCCAAGTCACTCTATCACTTACTTGGTTTTATTTTCTTCATAGCACACATCTTAATTATTTGTTTTTATGCATACTATTTTCTCCCCTGACTAGAAAGTAAGTTCCATGTGGACAGAGAGAGAGCTCATCAATCTTATTTCCCATTGTAGACTTGGCATCTTAAATCCTACCTCACACACATTGTGTTGCGCAACAGAAATTTACCGCAAGAATGAATAAATAAACAATGAAGAGATAATTAAGACAATCTGGTACAGAACCAGTGGGAAAAGGTCAAATCAGAATTTGTGACCTATCATGAAGCACACTGCTGCTGTATTATTTGTTTGTTTGTTTGCTTTTCCAATTTCCCCAGTGGGACCAGGGCTGAAACTACATGTGAAGGCAGAGCTGTAAAGGAGAGCCTTAGAAGACATGCCTTTTTCATTCAGGACTCTAAATATAAAACCATTCTGAAATGATTTGTAGGAGATTCTTGAAAATGAAATAGAAAAAGGGGGAAAAAAAAAGGAATATATTTTGGACATCAGCAAGGTAGTTCTGCCAACCTAATTATGCTCCGTGACATGTAATTGTGAACTGCTGAAAGACAAATGATGAAGCAAAGCATTTATCATAAACACATTCAGAGGTAAGACTGTCATAAATCTGGTTCCAGGATATTATTCCTTTAACATTATTATTACATAACAAAGAGTGTAAGCATGATGATGAGTTCCTTTCATGTATTTCTCAATACCTAGGAAATTAGGCTTACTAGTCAATCCCTAGCTGAGACGCCTGAGAAAATACCAAGATGTGATGAAAATGGCGGAACACATTACACTAACATGAAAAGAGCTTTCTATACACTAGAGATTCATTTAACATGCATTCAGATCTTCAGATACACCTCATAGTACTACACAATGCAAGAAATGTACACTCCGTAGCTCCTTATCTAGCAGGTTCAGCCACCATGGAAGGCAAAAATAAAACAAAACAGAAAGCCCATATGGACTAAATGAGAAAAGATTGGGAATGGAACTTTTTACTGTGTTTTAAAGACAAACTAGTGATTTTTCTCACAATAGAATGGAAGCATCTATTCCTTGGTACAGTGATTCAGAAAAGAATTACAGGGGAGTGTTAATAGGCCATAGGTCCTCTTATAATTACTAGGTGACAAAAATCATTAAATGCAGTTTTGATAAGTGTTCTAGTTACTGTTATGTTTAAAATTATTCCAAATTCTAAATTGATGTTTGTGTATTATTTACCATCTTTTAAAGTGATTTGTAGTTTTCATACATTCATGTTGTACAAATGTGTTTTTTCCCATTTCACTGAATATCAGAATCAGGCTCAAAAACAGATTCAGAGAATCTTAAAATTATTCATGCAATCCATGATATGTACTATTTAAAATACACTGCAATCATTATAGATATCATCCAAAATTTTACAAAGCTCTTTAAAACGGTTAGTAGTAATTTATCCATTTTAGTTCATGTGGGAATGTTTAATGTCATTTACTGAAAAAGAATGCTAAAATGGTATAAAATGGTATTCATTATGATTAATACCTAATCATTAAAGAAGTCCAGAGGTATAGAATTTAAAATCTTGCATATATGTTTATAAAATATGAACTCAGGAAACAACCATTTAATTTACCAAGAAATCCTTTGATGTCTAGTGCATAAGGACAAACAGGGTAAGGACAAGTTTCAGTGTGGAGGTCTTTTTGGATGGTTCCTACTAGCCTTGGGGTTTTCTTTTCCTATTTAGGGCACAGAGTTAACCTAAAAGACTGTCATTTTTGTCCCAGCTTTGCTCTGCAGAGCCCCGAGCAAAGCCTTGACCATAAATAAGGCAGCAGGACCCTGGGAGCCAACTGAGTCATAAACCCCATTCAGTCACATATGGCTCAAGGTACTGGGATCCCAAGACAGTCCCGCCAAACAAGTGGAATCAATTTAGGTCAGAGTTAGGAAAAACAGAGTGTTCCCCAAACCTTCCCCACTGGCAGTGGAAGATACCACAATCTCCCCTCCATGGCTCAAATACGGACTAAGCCCAGGAAAATATCTAGGCCAGAGCAGACTATTTCCACAGTCTAAAAAAGAAAGAAAGAAATGGAAAAAAAATATTTGACAACCAACCACAAATTTTAAATGTATGGTTCTCCTGTTTTTAAGCATAAAAGCAGTCTTGTTGCTGCTAAGTTATTATCACCATCACATTTTTTGACATTTGTGCCCAGTACCATTTAGCCTTAGGGTACTTAGGCTTATTGCTTTAAAAATACAGAGTTAAGCATGTTTAAATCACTTTAAATATCTCAAAAAGCAGCAAACACACAGCCTACCTGTTTGGGCATGCGAACTTGAAAGAAAAGCTTTATAGAATGGCCTGCAGGTCAACAAATTCTGGTTTTGGCAGACTGATGTCAGGAAAGAGCTATAGAAAACAAGGTCCTCTGTATGAAAAATACTCTGCCTTTGGTTCCCTCAGGTCAGAACTTGGAACTGTTAGCTAACATGCCCTGAAAAACTGCAACTCTCATAAAGTGCTAAAAACTCCCAAATAAATATGGCCCCTCGAAACTGAGAAACATTTAATGAACAACCCTTTCTTTGCCAATAATTCTGCTTAAATTAAGTCCAGCAGCCTCTTCAAAGGGACCAAAGAAGCCCCCTTGTTAAGACAAATTCTATATATAGCCATCCAAGACAATTATATGATGCATGTAACCAAATATATATAATTATCCTAGTTTCTACATTCCCATTATCTTCATAAATATAGGATAAAAATCAGCCTAAATGACTTTCTCAGACCTCCTCAAGGATAAAGACTACCGAGCCAGCTTTTAAAAAGTATATGTATGTAGTAAAGATCAAAAGCAAATGTTCTGGACAGTTCTTTTCTACCATGGGTTTTACTAAGAATGTGTGCAGTTTTCAGGGAAAACACCACAAATGACAGCTGTTCAAAAGCATGGAAATTAATTGGCAGCAGGAATTTCCTTGACTAATAGGGAAAAACTTAAAGTCACATGTTTTGATGAGCTTATTTTTCCCATCCCTAGTCAAGCATATTCACTGTTAATAATTAAGACTTTAAAATAGAAATATAACCAAGTAAAATCCTGAGTACATAACAAAAAAAAAAAAATGCTGAGTGAGACCTAGCTACGCATTACTGAATGAACTATGGAGTTAATGAATGAATTTTAGGTGTAAATATATAGGGAAAGGTTCAACTTGCAGGTTTTGATTTTCTATAGGAACTAAACTGAGACAGTAAGAACAATGTATTCAGGGTATTAAAAATTAGTAGCAAGATAAGTACCCCGCCCCCGCAACACCTCACCCCCAAGAAGCCATCTGCTTTGAGCTGTTTTTCTAGCAGTGGTGATGGATTTACCCTGATCCATCCACAGTCTCTGTAACACAGGGGCTCTCAAGTCATTGTCTTTGTGATCAATGGTGACAATGGAGGAGACAGCTGATTAGGATTAGGCCAGCAGCCTATGACCCTGGAACCAGGTAGTTCACCCTGCCCAGAGCTATGACCTTGAAATCATTAGCATTATTCTCTCACCACCTAAGCTAACCAACCACTGATCAGCCACGATCCAACATGCATCAGTCACTCTGGGGGCACAATGTCCTCTTAATTCCAGCAACAGTCATTTTATTTTTAAGGCAGCTGAACTGAACCCAAGACATCCAAAGGCTCATGCATGGCAGAGTCTATGCACAAACTGTCCCTCATGGCAGCAATGAGATGTCCAAGCACAAGCAATCGTGGTCCTTCCATCCTAATCAAATGACATCTCTGACACACCTCAGAAAAAGCAAGAAACAGTCAAAGAATTTCCAAAGCATATTTTCTCCAAGTGCCAAAATGGAACGATGTACCTGGCCATCCCCAGACTTGGAAAGTTGGCAGGAACGATGAGTACATCCAGCCTGGAGAAGGGATGTGTTCCCAGGACAGAGTGTGCTGCTGAGAGGCAAGGAGAGAGCAGCTGCAGGAGGGTCTCTTGGCAGGCACCTTTGAGGCACACTGGGGCAAAGACCCGATGAGGAATGATCTCCTGGGTGGTGGCAGAAGTATTCTGGAAGCGGCAGGGGTATTCCACATGGCCACAAATGCCCGCATACCTGGGAACAACACAGAATAAATATATGTGCTTTTTATTCTCCTTGCTGTGGAGGTGAGGGATTTTCACAGACACGGACAACTTCTAGGAGACAGTGGTTCAGACAGGTTCACAAGCAAAAACAGTTATTTGAGTTCTTTGCTTGTCTGTATCTATCCAGCAGTGAAAAATTAGAGGCTGAAATACTTATTGATGTGTTGAATTGATTGGGTAGTTTCAATCTAAGCGAAGTGAAAGTAGTAAAATCTTGTTTTAGAATAAATGGCAAAAAAAGTCCAACACTCAAAACAATAAAACAAACCCCCATCAAAACAAAAAAAACAACAATTTCTTCCCTTAAAATTGTGATTTCAAATATCACTATGAAAAAAATCCTCTCTAACTCAGGGATGATTCATAACTCAGAAAGGGAGGGGTGGTGTAAACAAATTAAAGATCCTATTCTGGAATTTACTAGAATAAAATACGTAGAGTCAGGTAGAGAAAAATGAACCAAATGACAGCACAGATTCCAACTTTTCAAAACAACACCATTCATTCTCCTGAAAAGCACTTTAGTTGTTCTTGTGCTGTTAAAACCTTGGTTGGATAGCTCAGTTGGTTAGAGTGTTGTCCTGATACACCAAGGTTGCAGGTTCAATCCCTGGTCAGGGGACATACAAGAATCAACCAATGAATACATAAGTAAGTGGAACAACAAACTGATGTTTCTTTCTTTGTGTCTGTCTCTCTCTGTCTTGCTCTCTCAAATTAGTTAAAAAAAAAAAAAGTTGTGCTATTAAGAAATACAGAGGCACTTGTGATACAATATTTTCCCCAATCCACTTTCCTTTTAAGGAAACAGATCAGAGTCCAGCCTGCACCATCTGATCACTGTCAGTTATTCTACCAAAGGTGGAGTTGAAAAAGAATTCCTAGAATCTGACTCATAGGCCTCAAGAGAACTTATCTGCCCAAAGAAACCAACATCAAAGGGAACTCTATTTTTTTCACCTGTTAACAGGTCCTTTATTCAAACCTAATGGAACACCCCTGTACTTTTAATTTATATATTATAGTTCTAACTATGGGGATTATTATACTCAGTGGATACTGGGGAAAAAAAAACCCTTAAAATACTGATATGTTCCAATATGGGCAAACTGTAACAATAAAGTCTCTCCAAATTTCTGAAGTGCCTTTCATCCATCCCCAATCAGCATTGCTCAAGGAGAGGTACACTGTATGGAGATAAGCCTTACCTTCTTGAGGTACATAGAACACAGCTCCCAGCACTGATGATGGTTTGCCACGTTTAGGGAAAAATAATAGGGGAAGATCCATAAATATTTCTCCCAGGATAAAGTGACAGGAAGAATATAATTGTTGACATTGAACGCTAGCCATATTCCCTAGATTGATAACACTGCTTAATGGAGAAAGTGAGAATAGGTGCCTATTGGTAAACATTTAACCAAAAAGCCTGCAATGTCCATCTAGTGATTAGTATTGTGTTGGTATAACAATTTAATCAAAGCTCTCACAAAGTGAAAAACCACCATTTATTAAATTAACCACCACAATACCTTTCCCTAATGTATGTATATGGGTACATAATGTGCTATGGTAATTTAAGCCTGAACTCTATTGAAAAGCTTTTAGACCATTTTAAATATTGGAGAAATTAGAGGTGAAGAGGCAGCTTCAGGACAAAGTTGGAGCATAAATTTAAATTCTATCTACCAAAGCACAATTTTGTAAGGGGGCTTTCCATTAGCCTGTCTAGAAACACACCACGGGGAAACACTGTTTTTTGTAGCCAAGACCTCAAAAGTTGGAGAATAGTTTGAGGTAGCCAAAGATATACCATAAAGGCCAATTTGTTAAAGAGAAAAGGTGAGTTACATTCTCTCTGGAGAGGAATGGCACTATCCAAGGAAACAAAGGTCATTTCATTTGGGTGAATTAGCACCATTTTTTACAATGAAAGCCTAGGAGAAAATACAAGACTTTAAGACAATCAAGCAATGGGTAAGTGAGACCATTAAGACTCCCAATAAAAACGGAAACAGCATCTGGGAGGCCACACATGGGCTCCAACACAGGATTGGGAAACCTGATCAACTGGATAACTGTGACCGAAGGCAAGCCACTTGGTCTCTGGGGCCTCTTTTCCTCACCTCTGACACAGTCTCACAGAAGAGGCCACTGGGGAAGGGGAAGAGTTGATGGGAAAGGGGTGTGAGGGAACTTACTGGGGTGATGGAATGTTCTTTATCTGGGTTAACATGTATACAACGGTCAAACACTAATGAAGCCAAATGCTTAAGAGTTATTCATTCTGCTGTATATTAATTATACTTTCATTAAAAACAAACAAACAGAAAACTTAAAGTGGTTCCCAAGGTTTCTCGTGGCCCTATGATTCTATGACAACTCACCACAAGAGCCCCTCTTCATACAACAGCCATATTCCTGAAGTGGTGAGGGAATACTTTTATAAAGTCATGACTAGTCTTCCACAGAACCAGTATTAACTCAAAGATGCTCTATCTTTCCTTCAGACTAACCTTCAATTACAAATCACTGTATATATGCCTACTCCAATATACTCTCAATATTATCAACAAGAGAAGAATTTGTAAATAGCTGTTCCCTGTGCCCAGGCTTGTAATCAGAGTAAACATTTTAATAGTTAAGGTTATAATAATATTTAATTGTTAATTACTAATAATCTATAATACTAATGATAATAATAAACAAATAACTCCAACCAGAACTGCTACTTATATTCATTTAACACCTACTATGTGCCATGCACAGTTCTGAATAATTTTATACATTTTCCCAATTAATCTATACAATATTCCTAAGGAATAAGGACTATTCATCACAGTGTGAGTCATAATCAGCTTCTCCCTCCAGACACTCCTTCTCCATATACTTCATTATGCATCTTAAGTAAATTTGGAATCTAGAGTTTTCTTAAAGTTGAGCTCAGCTGCCCTGTGGTTCTCCAGTTTCCTGTTCCTCCTTGTCAGTATAGCCTATTAATATGGCCAAGAGTGGGAAGAAGGGTGAAATATATGGTAGGCTGGTAAATGATGGAAACCAAACCATTGGTCCCCTCTTATAAAATGCTGGGCTCAAATTATTTTACAAGAGGTCTCTCCAAGGAGTGACTGCTTTAATCAGAATCACAAGATTAGAAACTGCCTCAAAAGTTTCTCCTTCAGCCATCCTCTTGTTTCAAGACTAGGCTGTACCGAAACCACCTGACACAAATGTTTCTCTGTCTTAGGTTCAAAAGAAATTACTGGAAAGTCTCCCCAGGGAATGCATACTCTTTTTCCACAACCCCTTCCTTGGTTCATGTGACAACTCAGTAAATATTTCCCACATTCTTGTTCTATTCAAGGCACTCCATGGGGAGCTGCCATGTACATACATCTAAATAAATATCTGACCTTATCTTTGAGGAATTTAACAGGTTAGAAAAAATATTTAATTCTTATTGGTTTAGTGACAGAGTACAGTGTTTACTCAATTTATTAACATATTTTAGCTAGCAGAGTAGATGCTTCCTAAAAATCACAAGTGTTCAAGCTGCTACCACCAGCCACCAACGTGTTGCTGACAAAATGATGTCAGTATAAATGATGATGTAGTATTGTCTGAAAGTTGAATGTGTTTTCCCTGGGCATTTGGTTTGTTACAAAGCAAAATGAGATACTTGCAACATGACACAGAAAGCCAAAATACTCTGGGGGAGCTAGGGTTTGACAAATCAAACCAAGCCAGAAAGATATCGAAAGGCTCCTCTCACAGTGAAGGGTATTCTGGAAACGAATTTTTTCCTATGTTTTATACCTACCATTCCTTCTTTTCTAGACTTTCAAAGAGATAGAAACTCCTCCAAAGACCACTTTTTATTGTCACATTCCCTACCACATCTGCCCTTCTTTAGGGTTAGCACCCTCAGTACCTCACCCATGCTTTTCCATGCCTTGTGTTCCCTATTTTCCATGCATTTAATCATTTTTGCTGAGTTCCTCTGGACTTTATCCAAGCATCCTGCTTAAATTGTATGGCCCCAAAGTGAAGACAATGCTTTAACAAAGGTCTTGAGAGATTAAACATAATACAAAGATTCCCCTGTGGCTGGAGAAGGTTATACCTCAGCCAAATAAAATTAATAAACTTTCAACAGTGTATCTAAATGCCCTGTAATTAATGTATTTACTAAAATGCGCACCCAGAGCGGGCTGGAAATATGTGTAAATGGAGCTGAAGGAAGGACTGTTCTTCCTATAATTTGGCCCACATGAACAGTGATCAAAAGTTCAGTGACCAAAGCTTTGGCCAAATTTCTGGGACCCAGATGAACACATTAGGCAAATGAAAGCCTGTGGTATATAAGGCCTCTGTAAAACTTACATTTACGTGAATTGAACTAGTGGTCTTAGGAAGGATTGAAGTAGAAAGGGGGGTTGGGAAAGGCAAGGGGACCAGATGTGAACATAACCAAAAACACCACTGCATTTGGCACTTCAGAGCACCTTTGTTGGCAAACTTAGTGTGGAGCCAGAGATTTAATGGATAAAAACACAAAGTCACCCTCTGATGACTAAAGACAGCACACGTTAAGTACGCAGCCAGGGAAGGATTAAACAAATGTAAGCTATTATTTTATCAGCAGTACATTTCTGATGGACAAGCACAGTGATAAATGAAGGGAAAACTTAGTCATAGCATGTCAGACATGGAAGGGAATGTGGGAGGGACTCCACCACCCCCAGGCCTCACATTTCCATACGAGGACAAGCTTCCCTGCCTGCAGTAGCACCCTTCTCTCTCTCTCCAGCTGATCTGATTGGCTGGGTCACTCTGGACTTTCTCTTTTCAAATCTGCTTGCCCACAGAGGGGGTGCTTTTGGCTGGTAGGCAGGCTGTGTGCATCTTTGTTGTGGAGGCGAGCAGTGGTACAGCTGGGTGGAGAAGTTTGTCTAAACTGGAAATGGAGTATTAGAAAGCCAATTAGCACTGTACACCTGAGTATTCCCTCAGTCCAGCTTCTGTCAATAATAAAACCTTTCTTTTGTTCTCCTGTTTCTCAGTTGGTTCTGAGCTCAGAAGGACAAGGGAGTTATATTTACCCTCTCCCATAAACTCTAACAGGGATTCAGATATCCTATCTTCCTAGAATCCCCACTTCATTTGGCCATGTCTTCCTCGTTCGCAATTATGGATGCGGAAGAGTAAATAGCCATTTCAACTGCTTGTGGGCAGCAGACAGAATATACAGGAAATGATTGCTGCCCACTCCCCTGCCTAGGATCTCTGCAAATACATCTAGAAGGACAAAAAACAAATTTCTTTCTTTGCCTTCCCCTAGCCTTCTTCCGGCACATATTTTCCAACTGCATTCCTCCTCTAACAGTAAATCAGCCCCGAGGCCGCAGGTGAAGAGCAGTGTTGCTTTACCATGGAGAATTTGAGAAACTCCCCCCACAACCCCCACTCCCACCCCTAGAAAACTATTCTGCAGAGAAGGAAAGTACGGGTTTGCCCAAAGAAACATACCCAGTCAATGGGATGGCACCTTCAGGCTCAGAGGAAGTGTTCTCAATTTCTGTTTTCTGTTACAACATCACACATTCCAATCAATAATAGTGACATCCCTGGATGGAAAGTGGATCAGACTCTGGGTGAGACATGGATGTAATGTACAGTTTTTTAGAGTCCCCAGGTAAGATTCTGAATCACCTCTCTAGAGGGTTGAACTCAGATGTGAATCCAGGTTTTGTAACTCAGTAGGGACATGAATATGAACATGTTGCTCTTTGAAGTCTCATTATCATTATTTTATTTTTAAAAATGGAGTTAATAAAGCCTATCTACCATACAAACTTATCCTCAGAACTAAGTGAGATGACATTTAGATCAAGGCTTTCCCTAACTTCAAACATTCAGTGGCTTCTGTATCAATTCAGGATAGGCTAGGATATGCTGCAATAACAAACATCCCCATTATTTCAGTGGCTTAACCCAAAGAAGTTTTATTTCTCACTCATACCAAATCCATTGTGGACCAAGTGACTCTCCAGGATGCCTGTCCTCACTAATTATAAATTTGGCTGCTGGGACTTTCAAAATGAGGCTGTGTGATCTCAGTGACAGGGAAAGAGAGCACCAGAGGGTCTCACAAGCAATTAAATATTCCCATGTGAAAATAACATATGTCACTTCTGTCTACAATTCTCTTCTTCCCTTGAGAGTACACAAGGAAAATCCCATTAGCAATCTACGATACTCTGCATAGCTCAGGGAATATAGTCCAAAATATGGAACTTACTGAGCAAGACATGGAAATTACCTTCCTTCCTCCAAAAAGCAAAAAGCAGGCAATAAGACATGCCCATTATAAGAGAGCACTCAATGGCTTTCTCTTCTAAAAACACCAACCACTACAGTCAGTGTAGTAAGAGCAAAAGCAACATAGCAAAACAAAACAACACAAAAGGAATCTGTATTACGAACATATCTTAGTTGGATTTCAAAGATGAACAAATCATCTGTCCCCTGACTCTGGGCATTCTCCACCAGAAGATACGAGCTTAGTGACCCCCTGTAAATAGGAAAAATGATTAAACCAAGCTGGATGTAAAAGCCCTAGAAGGAAGCATAATGTCACACTGCATGATTAGCACACTTCTTGTGCCTATTATGTGCATTCCCCTTCTTCCCTTTGACCCTCAAAACTAAAACTAAAATTGGCCTATACTAATTTCTAAAAATTTTAAACTGATTTTCTCTTATCAACTCTGAAAAAGAAGCAATTGCTACTGAAGTTAACAGAGCCCTGGCCCAGAAGGATTCTCAAAACCCAGTGGCCTTGTGACAGCTTCCTTGTGTCCTGTGCTCCTAGGGAGGCTAGCCTCCCCTACTGCCCCCACAAAGACACTGCTAACAGCAGTCACTGGAACCAAAACAGCAGAGTGGACTACAAAAGAATCCATCAGACAGGCAACTTCTTTTTGATCAAATAAGCAATGAAATCCAAAGTTAAAAAGTGTAGAAAGAGGGAAGAGTATTAAAGCTAAAGATTCTGCTGACTTAACCAAACACACAAAAATATTTCACCTGACTTCACAGAGGATTTCATATATACTTATTTTCTTCTTATTCTTTCTGCATAAACAATATACCCACATTTCAGCCTCTCAACTCTCTTTTCCCTTCCAGTAGGGCTTTTCCTGCTTTGATTAGTCATAGTTTGGTTTAGTTTCTCCACAGGGATGACTCACATTCCCAGTGCTTGGAATAAGTGCATCATTCTGCTCCCTCAAGTGTTTGTTTTTCAGCAAGTTCTCAGATACAAACCTGAAGTCAGCCTCGGAAGGTGAGAAGGATCTCTCTGCTGCCAGATCATTCAATGAGCAGGTCTCTGGCTTCACTTCGGTCCAGGATCCCACTGCAATTGTAATGGTAGAGGCCGGCATTGGCATGGTTACATAGTAATGCCAGCTTAAGCACCCTATAAACAGAAAGAGAAAAATCTAATGAGGCCAATGTATGGTTCTGGACCTTATTTGTATTTTTTCTCTTTAAACTATTGAAGAACTTGTGTCCTAAGATGGTGTGAGCCAGTTCTTGGAGGTGGGTCATCTCAAGTGAAGGGACATTATTCCAGGTCTCAGGGGAAGCATAAGAGAAATGATAGTTTCAGGGCAGCCATGGAGGTTTGGATCTGTTCCAGGGATCAGTATGAAGCCCTTCAAGTGAAGCTACAAATAGATGGTGGTGGTTGAGGTGGTCACTAATAGCTGCGAACACATAAAAGTATAGGTTGTATGCTGCTATAGAAACAAAAACATGTCTTATTCATCCTTACTGCCTAGGGCAGTTCTTGGCATAAAAAAAGAAAAAAGATGCTCAGTTCAATGAACAAATGGATGGATGGATGGATGGATGGATGGATAAATGAATTATCACTTCTATTCTGAAAGTTATTTTACCAAAATCAAGTCCATCTAGAATGGATCTAGGAGAATACAATGAGACTAATGAAGGGAGAAACCTGGGTTTTAGTCCCAACTCTGAAACTACAATAATTAATTGTGGAAGTTCAGGTCTTATATCCCTATCCTTTTTATCTGTTACTATATTGGGCTGATACCCTCTTCTTCACTGAGCAGATAAAAAACAGGTCTGGAGAAGTTCTGTGGAGCCAAGGACTCCCACCTAGTTTGTAACAGGGCTGGAATTACAGTTGGGCCTCCTCACCCCAGCCAAGGGTGTGCCTGCCAGTTAGTCCAAACCTTAGAGAAGGCTTTTACCAAAGGAACAAATGGTCAGTAACTTATAACACTATACCTCCTTACTTCTATGGTGGGAAAATGATTTTAATGTTTCTGAAACCTGAATGTCATGCGACCTGATTTTATATAGTATTTTTTTCTGAGCATCTGCTATAAAATGATGGTGGTGTGTCTTGAAGGGAATTAATATCACCTCATATTATGGAACAGTTCTCCACTCCTCATGTTCCTCATATTCCATTTGCGTAACACAACCTAATCTCTCTTTCAGCCCCTTACTAATTCCTTTGCAGGATCTATTCTTCTCTTTCTTGCTTTAGTGGGTTAAACAACCATGACAGTGACTATGATTAAACCGAGCTGGATTCAAACTATGACCAGTTTAGTCAAACTATGACTGTGGTTGCCTAGTTTGGTTAGTGAGCAGATAAAATGTCATATTCAAGGGGCAAAATGTTAAAATGCCCATATTGGCCAGCTGTGCCAACATGACATTTTTCAAAGCCTTTTACCAGTAAAAATCAATAATAAAGGTTAGACTTTCATCTCCATATGCTTGGTTTCTTTGTCTCTCAATTAATTCTGAAATCAGGGAGGTAAAGGGGTCATTGCTTATTACTCTCTGAAACTACCAACTTAGATCCAAGAAAATACACTGCAGGGTTCCTCTGATGAAAATCAAATAAAAAAATTTTTTTTAAAGATTTTATTTATTTACTTTTAGAAAGAGGGGAAGGGAAGGAGAAAAACAGAGAAAGAAACAGCAATGCATGAGAGATACATTTATTGGTTGCCTCTCATATGCCCCCACCTGGAGACCTGGCCTGCAACCCAGGCATGTGCCCTGACCAGGAATTGAACCAGCAACTTTTTGTTCGCAGACTGGCACTCAATCGACTAATCCATACCACCTAAGGTAGAAAAACAAAATTTTAAGTAGAAAACAAAGGCCTAAACTTAAGAAAAAAAATAACTATGATATCAACTTTGAATAAATATGATATATATCAAGTTTGGAAGTCATTAAAGGAAATGTACTTGAGGGAGGACTACAGAAGGGCATGCTCAGAATGCCTGGAAACCCATCATAAAGGTTGCCGTCCTCTCAAACTTGCTTGTAAGTTTCATTCTGCTGCTGTAATCAGACTGGCCACTCTTGAAATCACTCCTTCCACAAACAAGTAAGAGCTTTAAGGCATGTTCCTTTTTTAAAGAAACAACCAAATTCAGTAATGCCGGAGCCAATACAGTGATGTGTGTAGCTTCTATTGGGCTGGAAGGAAAACCACAGCTTTAGAAAAAATTGATACTCTGATCTCAAGCCAGTAAGAAGAAGCCAGAGACAGGTCTGGGGCCTTGATGAAAGTGTGACATGGATCTGACATGACAAGGTGTACTGAGCCCACCTCCCTCACTTTTCCACAGCTATCTCATTCTCTTCAAACTGATGCTTCCCTGCAGTTGCTCCACCAAGAACTTGAAACTTGGACTGGACAACACAATGAGAGCTGGTGCAAATTGGGGTGAGGGCAGAGATGGAAGAACAGGAAAGAAGTTGTGGGTGAGGGACTAAATGTTTTGAACAGCCTTGGTTTAAAGGAAAAATCTTGAATAACTGAAATCTTGTAATCAAATGCCTGCAGTCTGGCCATTCTTTCTCTAAAGTATATTTTGGAATATTTACCATCAGCCACTGAATTTTTCTTTTAAAACTTCGGACTTGTGGGTGTTCAGTAAATAAGACAGTAATGGCGATGCTTTCAGGTAAAAATAAAGGATTAATTGCATGAGGCTATCTTTGCTTCTTCCCAAAATCCAAGTAAAGGATAGTAAAGGATATTTTTAAGCCATAAACAAATAAGAACAGGGAGAATACTACAAGAACATAGGTGAAACTAGGCGCAAAATATTGGAAGGTAGAATGCAGATGAAAGAGTGGTAAATGACACAGCAAACCTGAATCTTAACTTAGTAGTGAGGAAGACGATCTACCTCACTTTATTCCAAAGAAGCTCAAAAACTGGGTGTGGAGGAAGTATAAACTAAGCAGGCCTAGATGAGAAGGGCTTAGATCCCTGAGTGGCCTCGCCTACTCCACACATCCAGGCTATTTGCTCATTTCTCACACACCAATAAAATAACTGGAAATTTATTTTCTTTTTTTTAAAAGATTTTATTTATTTATTTTTAGAGAGAGGGGAAGGGAGGGAGAAAGAGAGAGAAAGAAACATCAATGTGTGGTTGCCTCTTGCGCACCTCCTGCTGGGGACCTGGCCTGCAACCCAGGCATGTGCCCTGAGTGGGAATCAAACCAGTGACCCTCTGGTTTGCAGTGAGCCACACCAGCCAGGGATGGAAGTTTATTTTCTATAGAGAGTAAAACAAAGGGCCTCTAGACTGGGGGTGGGTGGGTGGAACAGCTGAGGGGGTTAGATGAATGTATGCATATCAGATGCTGAGAGTACCAGCCATCTTCCCTTATCTGGTTCCCAGAATGTTAAAAACCAGGCCTTTTTAAAAAAAAAAAATTTATTTTTAGAGAGAATGGCAGGGAGGGAGAAAGAGAGGGAGAGAAATACCAATGTGTGAGAGAAACATCGATCAGCCCGTCCCTTGCATGTCCCCAACTGGGGACCTGGCCTGCAACTTAGGTGATCTTTCAGTTTGCAGGACAATACCCAACCTTCTGAGCCACACCAGCGAGGGTAGCAACCAGGCTTTTATCCTCCCAGGAGAATGAAAAAAACTGACCAGCCCAAGAGAAGACAACTAAGGATTCTGACGTTGGAGGTTTCCGATGACAAGCCTATGATGAAGCCCACAGGTGACAAGCTTGATGCATGCATTCAGAGCTCCCATTCAGCATTTGTGGCCCCTATTCCTAATGCCTGCAGACCATTCAAGGGCCACCAGGCAGTTTTAGAAAGCTCCTGGTATAAACTGGGAGACCAAAACAAATAGAAGCAAGCAACTTAGAGGATAGTCACCATGCATACAGAATGAGACTTCAAAACCACCAAACATACACCAATTGAGAGTTAAGAGAATTTATTGCAGTAATATAAAAAAAGAGGATTCCTAAGTACAGAAAATTAAAAGCATGATACAAGAAAAACCCAATAAAAGGGGTGAGGGAGGTAGATTAGAAAGCTGAGGAAAGTCCTAGAAAGTAAAGGGAAAAAAATAAAAACAAAAAGATAAGTAAAAAGACAGAAATCAGTCCAGGAAGCCCAATATCTAAGTAAAAGGAACTCCAGCAATAGAAAACAGAGAAGATAGAAGAAAAAATAACCAGTTTAAAAAACTCATAAAATTTCCCCAAATTTAAGGGGCACTGAGTTGCCAGACTCAAAGGACACAGGATTGGGTATAAATAAATCCACATCAAGATACATCACTATGAAATTTAGAACAAAGGCAAGATCCTACAAGCTTCCAAAAAGGGGGAAAAAATCACATATGATTAGGACATTTTCAGACAAGCAGAATTAAAAAAAAAAATTCACCTCCCATGCATCTTATTCTCTAGAAGCTGCTAGAATATGTAAAGTATGCTGCAAAAAGAAGCAGTAAACCAAGAAAGAGGAAGGCAGACATGCCAACACAGGAAAGAAGCAAAGGGAACCTGATGGAGACTGGCAATCCATCAGACTGATAGAGAAGGACAATCCTAGGAGCCAGCCGTGTGCCCAGCAGAGAGGGTAACCAATGTCCTCTGGAGCAGATTACAGGGCCTGGGGAGAGATTGCATCAAGAAGGTGAAATTGAGAGAAAACCTGCTAATCTGAGCATCTTGAAAAATCTAAACAACCTTCAGAGAGTCTGGGGTTGGTAAATACATAGAAAAACCAAGAAAATAGGAAAAATAACAAAGAAGAAGACAATTACTGTCTTCATGAAAAACTACACGTTGTACAAAAATAATAATGTAATCTAAGTTTTACTACAAGTCACAGCTCTTAATAACAAACATATATAATAATATATAAAGAATATTGATTTAATCAAAGTTACATTAATTATATTGGCAGGTGGGAAATGGGGTAGAGCGCTTATGTGTGATGGTGTGGGATGTGGGAGGGGAAGAACACTAAATCTCTATCTGCCAAGTGGGAAGGCCAACCCTGAACAATCAAGCACCCTATTGAACTATATGCTCATAAAAGTCAACTAATCAGCTCCACCAGGTCAAAGTGGTTACTTCTGAGTCAGAAGA